AAAGGAGAAAACATATAAAGAAAAAGGCAAAGCCTTTTTACTCTTTTGGAACTAACATTTCTCTAACTGGATGAACCCTGAAGGCGCCAATCCAAGTGTGTTCTGTGCCTTCGTATTAATTTGGCCAGCAGTTCTGCATGGTGCCATGAACATGGGCTTTCACAGCAGGGCCACTGTGCAGGAGGAAGGCAGTGGCTTTGCAAGTTTCCTTCTGCAGCCCCAGAAGGCATAGGAGGGGGAATAGTCAAACGGGTCTGAGATGATTGGGTGGTTGGGCTAATTCAGGGCTTTGCTGTTCCAGGACTCTGTCCCTTGCCACTTTGTGTGTATGTATGTGTGCGTGTGTGTGTGTATATATATATAGTCATCTTTCAAACTGCAGGAGACCTCAGAACAAGAATGAAGGCCACTGGCTGTAAGGTTCACAGCAGATGGAACTAAGATACAGCCCTGCTCACCCACCCATTTTCATCACTGCCATGGCAAATCACCCTCAAAACATTAAAGTGATGGACTGAAACAGTAATTCCTGATATGAATGAGGTATTATTAAATTATAAGTGGAATATTATATTTTATCAGGATAGACCTATTGTATTTTATCAGGATAGACAAATATATTACTATTTACCATGATTTCCAATAGGATGCTTATATAATTATTAAGAGAATGGTACTGTCAAAATCCTTCTCTAAATTCATCTCACAGTAAGCATCAAGTTTATTAATCGTGTTTAAAATGCCTGACTATTCTTCTTTATGTGTAGCAATTTTCTGCAGATGTGACTTCTGAAATTATAATCTCATATTTGAAATAAATTATTTTCCTGATGTTTATGCTTTTAATCTTATTAATGTTCTCTTTTCTTTTAATTCATACACACACACTCTGATTTGTGATTGCACCTTTATAATTTTTTGGCTTTGCAATGATGTGAATGGGATATGTAGTCAGAAAAAAGTGACTACATATTTTGAAGTTTGATCTTTTCCCAAGCAGGAGATGTGCAACACCATCTCTCTCCTGAGATGGTGGCAGTGGGCACATAATCATGAGAGTGACCAAGTTCTACTTAGTAGTTGATGGGGCCACCAAGCCAAGTGTTTGGCAGTTTGGCTGCGTTAAATGACTTTTCACTTACAATACTTTCAATTTATGGTAGGTTTGTCAGTGTGCATCCTCAGCAGAAACTGAAGAGAAACTTTATTACAGATAATCTGTTACACAAAAACAAAAACTGTGTGATTTATATGTCACTCATTAATTAACCATTCAAATATAGATATTGTTGTACACGTGGATGACATTTTTGTCTTTATCCAGACAATGCGAGACTTGACATTTTCCATAATGAAGTATTGAATCTTACTTTTATTATTCCTGATTATATGCTAATAGCTTTCTTTGAACCTGTAGAGTAATTACTATATTTTTCATGATTTTTATAATGTTTTACCAGAATCATGTATTATGATAATGCATATAAATTTAAAATTTAGCCTTGCTTACTACTGCCATTTACAGAAAAACTAATAAAAATTCTAATACAGTGTTTCATATATCTGGATCATGTCCTTATGTTAAATTGAAAGAAACAAAGATTAAACGGTATGAATATTCTTATAATTATTTTATTCATTTTTATTTCAAATTTTGAGTTTTCCTACCAAATGTATCAAGTGTTAAGTCCTAACAGTAATTTTCTATGGTCATTTATTCTTTCCTGTATTCAGCACATTTACTTGATGTTTCATTACATTCATTAATAGTATGTACCTTCACATTGTTAAACTAGATTACTTTTAGGTTGTAAAAGGCACATTGCTATAACTTTGCCTTTCTGTGATTACTGGTAAGTTTTGATTATTTTTCCAAATTTAATTTCAACTGGCTGCAACTCTAAATAATAAATTCATTATTTATCTACCTTTTACTACAATTAATGTTTATGTATGTTTTATTTACTAATTTATGTTACATATTTTATTTTAGCCTCCTTCACATCTCCTCAATATATTGATAGTAAATGATTTTAACTTTCAAAATTTCTAAATTGTACCACTGTAAAAATATAATTAAAAGAAGCAGTGCCATCAAATGAGATAGGGTACATGAAAGTGCTTTGTAAAATTTAAACCTAAATCAATGTATTATCATTAATATTTATCTTCAGAGAATCCTCATAAAATTAGTGTGAGTTTAAGGAATTTAGTAGTATTATACTATAATAAAAAACAGAAGCCCATAGCTTAGAGTGATTAAGTTACAGATTGAAGATCTGAGATGAATAATAACTACACAGTGATTCTAATCCCTAAGGGACATTCATTAACTAATATTCTATTGGGAGGGGGAAGAAAAGCATTTGCAGTGGAATAGAAAGGTAAGCCCTAAAAAGAGATAATAATTCATATTCAACAAACACACATGGTAATTTTCATAAAGGAGAGGCTGTTATGAGCTTTAAAAAGCAATGCTCTTGGTCATCTTGTCACTTATATACATGACCAAGATAACTAATTAAAATGAATAATTTTTTTTTAAAAAAAGCAACACTCTTGGGCAGTTGAGTATCATGGACAGTGCCTGTGAAGAAAATATAAATTTGCTGACCAGTGAGTTTTGAGCAGTCACCTGAGTTTCATGTCTCAGTTTTTGAAAATCATTCTTAAATGTTTATTCTCTCCTGCTCATAAAGGTGCTTCAGTGGACCTTTCTCGTCTGGAATGGAGGCTCCATGAAGCTCAGTCACTCACTAAACTTATGTGAGTCCGCTCCTGCCAAAGAACAGTAGCCAGACCACTAGTCGACCTTCCATAAATAGTTACCAGCTAATTAATAATGCATGCCAAGTAACAAATGTGACATGGCTTCATATCGAAGAACTTATAGTCCAAAGACTGGGATATCAACCATAGCCCTGAGGTGTGTCAGCTGTTAGTCAGCTTGGAGTTGCTGTGACACAGAGCTGACAAGAATGACTTCAAGGACCAAAAGCTCCCTGGGGCTCATGGTTCTAGAGTCCATGGTTGGCCAGCTCATTCTTCTGAGCCTGAGGTGAGGCAGGACATCAGACAGGAGGACAAGATAGTTGGCACATAGAATCTGAGAATATGAGAGAGAGAGAGAGACAGAGAGAGAGAGAGAGAGAGAGAGAGAGAGAGAGAGAGACCAGAGACAAAATATAATCCCCAAGGAC